AAAAGGAATGGCATCACATTCATTGTCAAAAAGATCATTTCAAGATCTATGTGAAGTACAAGCTGTTGATGATTAGATAATAATCCATGCGCCTACAAGGAAGACTCAATTAATACAATTATTATTAAATCTACATGCCAACCACTAATGCCAAAGATGAAAAACTGAAGATTTTTACCAACTTCTGCAGTCTAAAACTGATCAAATATACAATCAAAAAGCATTACTGGTGCTTGGAATGCAAAAATTGAAAACAAAGAAGAAAGAATGGTAGTTAGAAAATATGGCTTTGGTGACAGAAATGATGCTATAGATCACATGATAGAATGTTGCAAGACCAACTACTTATTCATTGCAAATACCTTTTTCAACAACATAACCAGTGACTATACATGTGGACCTTGGCACATGGAAAACACAGGAATCAAACTGACTACATCTGTGAAAAGACACAATGGAGAAGTTCAATATCATCATTCAGGTCAAGGCCAGTGGCTGACTGCAGATCATACCATCAATTGCTCAAGGTAAGTCAAGCTGAAGCTGAGGAAAACTAAACAAGTCCACAAGAGTCAATGTACAACCTTGAGTATATCCCACCTGAATTCTGAGACCATTTAAAGAACAGATTTGACATACTGAATAATAACAACTGAAGACCAGATGAATTGTGGGAAGACATCAAGAGAATCATACATGAAGAAAGTAAAAGGTCATAAAAAAGACAGAAAAGACCAAAGAGATGTCAGAAGATACTCTGAAACTTGCTTTTGAACAGAGTATAGCTAAAGTAAACACAAGAAATGATGAAGTAAAAAAATTGAACAGAAGATTTCATAAAGGTTGCTCGTGAAGACAAAAGTATCACAATGAAAAGTGTAAAGATCTGGATTTAGAAAACCTAAAGGGAAGACATACTCATCATTTTCCAAGTTGAAAGGACTGAAGAAAAACATTCAAGCCTCTAATCACAATATTGAAGAATTCTATGGGCAACATATTGCATGACAAAGGAAGCATGAAGAGAAGATGGAAGGAATACACAGAGTCACCAAAAAGAACTGGTTGATGTTCAACCATTTCAAGAGGTAGCAAACGATCAAGAATTGATGGCATTGAAAGAAGTCATCCAAGGTGCACTGAAAGCACTGGTGAAAAACAAGGCTCCGGGAACTGGCAGAATACCAATTGAGAAGTTTCAGCAAACAGATGCAATACTGGAAGCACTCAGTTGTCTATGCCAAGACATTTGGCCTGGCCAACTAATTCGAAGAGATTTACATTTGTATCTATTCCAAAGAAAGGTGATTTAACAGAGGGCAGAAATTACTGAACAATGACATTAATTATCACACTCAAGTAAAATTTTGCTGAAGATAATCCAAAAACAGTTGTAGCAGCACATCAACAGGAAACTGCCAGAAGTTCTGGCTGCATGCAGAAGGGGACATGGAACAAGGGACATTACTGCTGATGTCAGAGGAATCTTGGCTGAAAGCAGAGAACACCAGAAAGATGTTTACCTGTGTTTTATTGACTATGCAAAGGCATTTGACTGTGGGCATCATAACAAACTGTAGATAACATTGAGAAGAATGGGAATTCCAGAACACTTAATTGTACTCATAAAGAACCTATACATAGACCAAGAAGCTGTCACTTGAACATCCAAGGAGATATTGCATGGTTTAAAATCAGGAAAGGTGTGCATCAGGGTTGTATTCTTTCATCATACTTATTCAATCTATATGCTGAGCAAGAAATCTGAGAACCTGGCTATATGAAGAAGAATGCAGCATCAAAATTAGAGGAAGACTCATTAATAACCTGCAATACACAGATGACACAACCTTGCTTGCTGAAAGTAAAGAGGACCTGCAGCACTTATTGATGAAGATTAAAGACTATAGCCTTCAGTATGGATTACACTTCAGTATAAAGAAAACATACATCTCACAACTGGACCAATAAGCAACATCATGATAAATGGAAAAAACCCTGAAGTTGTCAAGGATTTCACTTTACTTGAATCCATAATCAGTGCCCATGGAAGCAGCAGTCAAGAAATTAAATGATGTGCCGCATTGGGCAAATGTACTGCCAAAGACCTCTTTTAAAGTGTTAAAAAGCAAAGGTGTCATTTTGAGGACTAATGTGTACCTGACCCAAGCCATGGTATTTTCTATTGCCTCAGATGCATGCAAAAGCTAGACAATGAATTGATGCATTTGAATTATGGTGTTGGTGAAGAAAACTGAATATACCATGGACTGCCAGAAGAACAAACAAATCTGTCTTGGAAGAAGCAGAGCCAGAGTGCTCCATGGAGGTGAGGATAGCGAAACTTCATCTCACGTACTTTGGACATATTATTAGGAGGGACCAGTACCTGGAGAAGGACATCATGGTTGGTAAAGTAGAAGGTCAGTGAAAAAGAGGAAGACTCAGTGAGATGGATTGATACAGTAGATGTAACAAGAGGCTCAAGCATAGCAACAATTGTGAGGATGGTGCAAGACCAGGCAGTATTTTGTTTTGTTGCATCCATATATCTGCTATGAGTCAGAACTGACTTGACGGCACCTAAAAACAACAACGAGAGGCTTTTCTTGTCTGTATGACTAGATGATAAATGGGAAGAGGGGGTGAAATTACCGGGAGCACACTCCCTCCCCATGGAAGGTAGCACCAGCACTAGTTATTACTGCAACCTTTTACCTGAAAGTGATTTGGTAGAGAACATGGCTCTTCTCCTGACAGGGCATACAGTGAAAACTGGGAGGGGCTGGAGAGAGAGCTCTGCAAGGGGGTCAGGGAACAGGGATGGAGGTCTGGGACAGAGGCTTCTAACCTACCTATCTGGCCTAACCTCAAGGCCTTTATACCCCAGCTCCACCCAATTTAGTCTTGATGGGTGCAAGAAGGGCAAGGAAAACACAGGAAGCATCTCAACTCATGGAGATGCTTAAAAATAATAGTGAAAATTATCAGAACAGGTGGTGACCCCAAACTGGCCCAATGTCCAAGTTCTCTCAAACAATGCCCAGTGTGTGAGTGTTACTAAGGCATCAGTGTAAGTCACTAGAGGTCTACCTGCAGGAAGTGTTGAAGATGCACTCAAGGTCAAATGCATCCTAGGAGGCAATTCTGAGAACAACGTGATGGCCACAGTATGTTATCTTCCCCTATACATTCACATTGAGCCCTTTGTGGTGTGGGAGGTAATTAAAATAAAAACAACTGATTTATGGAAACTCTGGCAGACCCTGGACCTCAAAAGTATTGCTCTGCAATGCACAAACTCAACTCTCTCCTCCCCACTCCCAATAAAACGTAACAAAGGAAGGGAAGAATTTTCTTTCATGTCATCATGGACCACCAAAATGTATCAGAGATAAAAGGGTCAAAAGGATGCTGTGGGGCTGCAGAAGCAGTGGTGCCCAGTGGAAGGTTCAGCACCACCTCCTGTATGTTTGGAGGGAAAATTCTAGAAGAGGAAAAGAGCCAAAACCACTGTGTGGTTGATTAGAGAACTCATAAGTACATTAGAAAATCCCCCTGGGACCTCTCTGAAATAACTATGGGACAGAGCAAAGGGCTACTGCAATAACTGGTGAGGTAGAAGTCAATGACACATACTCCATGTTAATAAGGGACAGTGCAATGGGCAGACTCATCCATTGCTGATATAAACATCAACACAATTCACTTGGAAAGCTATTTGGCAGCTGGTACGAAGGGTTGTAAGTTTATTTATTCCTGCTCCTGGAGATATAACTGAGGAAAGCATCCAAGAGAAGGAAAAAGCTTCTGGGCATGAAGACGCTGCATCTTAACTTAAAAACTGAGGCATAAATATCTAATTTCCCATAGTTATCCAATGAGGAATGTTTAATTAAATTACACATGTCCACTTGAATGGAATATCCTGAGATTTTAAGAAGGTAAATTTAAAGACTTTCCACCAACATGGAAAAATGCACAACCCCAAACCCTGAGTAAAACAAAAGCAGAAATCAAAATAGCTTCCTCACCATGACTATAAAAGTATTAACGCTAGTGGACAAAGACTAAAGGCATGCACAGCATCAAAGTGGCTGCTTTACTGTAGTACCATGATTACATGTGGTTTTGCCTCCTGTATTTCCAAAGTATTCTAAAATGTTGACATAGGATCTTTAAAATGACAAAAAAGGAAAATAATTACTACAAATCTCAAGGCATAAACCAGAAAATAACTAAACAAAGATCACCAGGCAGAAGCAGATAAGAGGGTTCTTCTTTATGGATTATTATGGTAGCATAGTGGCTAAGGCACTTGATTGCTAACCAGAAGGCTGGCGGTTCAAACCCACCAGCCACTCCCCGGAAGGAAGGTTGGGCAATCCTACTTCCGTAGTGATACTGCCTCCGGAAACCCAAGGAGAGGTCGCTATGAGTCAGGGCTGACTCAACGGCACATAACAACAACAACAGTGCCTAAGGCACTTGACTGCTAACCAGAAGGCTGGCGGTTCAAATCCACCAGCCACTCCTCAGAAGGAAGGTTGGGCGATCTACTTCTGTAGTGATACTGCCTCCGGAAACCCAAGGAGAGGTCGCTATGAGTCGGGGCCGACTCGATGGCACATAACAACAACATGTGATTATGGATTATGATTATTATTATGTGAGCTAAAAATTGCAGACAGTCACAAGCTCTGGGGTCCTGAACGCACTTGTCCACACTAACCGAGCCACTGATGAGAGACAGGAGAAGAGGAGCCCCTAAGGGAGCAGGGAACAGCTCCCGCAGGCCTAATGTGAGGACATCCCAGCAAGTGCTATTTTGGCCTCTGTGATGAGAGGGGGTAGAGTGGCTCAGAGGACAATCAGGCACTCAGGGGGAAGGAAGCTCTTCAAGGTCAAGGCCAGAGCTCAGTCTCCACAAACCAGTCAAGGTCTGCTCGCCTTCTCCAATCCCATACATCATAAACACAGCGAGGAGAGGCTGGACTCACCGCTCAGGGGAGATGTAGTGTTTTCCAGGGCCTGGCACACAGCTAGTAAAATACCTGTGAGGGGAAAGAAGAGAGAAAAGGTAAGAGTCTATTCCTCAACTTCTGGAGAGGATTCAAGGATAGGACCTTTGAAAGACAGAGACTTGGTAGTTTACAAAGCTGCCAACAAATAGGACTGGCTCTGTAATTTGCAGAGCTCAGGGCAAAATGAAAATGCGGGACTCTTTGTTCAGAAAGTAGAAAAACAGTGCTGTTAAAGTGCTAACATAAAGCTTTCCCTTTTGTCTGTGGTCTCTCTCTAAGGGTGTTATTCATTTACTATTTAATGTCATCAATCTCCTCTTGGCATAGGGATATCCCTGGGTGAGCACAGACCCTGGTAGGTGCCTGAGGCCCCCAGTGACAAAAGAAGCAAGCATTCAGGTGACCCACAGACTGCTGGGTTCCCCTTCTTGCCAGTAATTGAACCGACATGCTCTACCCCAGCCAGGGGGGAGGAGCCTGGTCAGGAAATCTCCTCTTCCGAGGGAATGGCAGACCCAACCCATGGTGGATGAGTGACCCCCAAGGGTATTGCAACCATCACTCTGGGACACGTAGATAACTGGATTGTAGGCAAGGGAGAGGCTCACCCCTATCTAATCACCCACTGAACGTGCTTTGAACAGGCTGCCAGCCCTGGATGTGGTCAGCCACTACTCATCTTGCCCCAGGTATGTGGCACATATACATGATCTGAACTCTGTGTACAGGAACCCACTAGGGGCAAAGCATGACAGGGACAGGAACCCACCAGAGAGGCAGGGAGGCTGCACCATGGGAATGAAGGCCCCAAGCCTCCAGTGCCCACAACACTGCCCTATTGGACTTCACTTACAAAGCACTAATTCAAAAATAAAAATATTAAGCATTCTAAGACTGCGACTGCCAAGCATTAAAATTCCAAATTCTGAGCACTTTTGAACAGGTTAAACATCCGTGAAGCCAAAAGATGACCTTATGTACCCTCATGTTACAGTCCTGGAGGTTTCTGGAAATAGAGTAACATTCCGACAAGGAAGGAACCTCTTATGAGTTTTGCAATCAGTAAGCACAAAATTAGAATGACTTCCCAAATATGAAATGCAAAAAAGAGGCCATCATAGCCAGGCAGAGAGGTGGGGCCACTTACAGGTTAACCCAGCAAGTTAACAAGCACGCCCCACTGCACGGAACACCTGCAAATTCCCACCTCACAAGCTGTGAGGGCTCTTTCCCCCTTTCACTCAGGGTGAGGACCAACAAGTTCTGGCTGTAAGGGGAGAAACAAATTTGGAATGGATAAAGCAGTCATGCTGATAACTTTCCTTTTGGCTTTGGATTGAGAAACATCACAGAAACTTCAGACAGCTTTTACTAAAGGCGTGGTGCAGACTTCCCAAATAACCTCATTACAGAGTCCTGAAAGGAGCCCTGGTGGCAAAATGGTTAAGTGCTTGGCTACTAATCAAAAGGTTAGCAGTTTAAACCCACCACAGGAGAATGACCTAGTGACCTGTTCATAAAGATCACAGCTTAGGAAACACTATGGGGCAGTGCTACTCTATCACATGGGGTCACGATCAGTCAAAATTGACTCGGTGGCACCTAATAACAACAACTCAGAGTTCTGAACCATATTTGGGCTTGGGGTAGGCGAACGAGTGGGGTGGGGACAGGAAAGAAAATTAATACAATCACATACCTCTTCCCTATGCAAGTCTTTCTTGGTGCCCAGTGGACTCTACCCAGGAAAGTCAGGTCATATAACTTTGGAGGCATAGCTAAAAGAATCTAAAAGATTCTAACTGAATCTAAAAGACTCAGTTTATAATCCACACATCCAGAGTGAGAGCAAGGCATTCCTGCCCCAAGTCAGATCAAGTCTTAGTGACTCAACATGGCCAACTAGGCATCAGTTACATGCTGACTTTGCTGGTACTTCCACACACCACTCTGGGCCACTGCCAGCCCGTAACCCACAGTAACAAAGGAAAACATGGGGATGCTCTGCATACCTCTCAAGAGGCCTGTCACGCACTGCCCCTGAACAATGGGATTACTGTCACACCTCACTCCCCACCCCACATTCAGGCAGTCAGGGGAAATATGGTTCCTGGACTCCATGTTGCCCTTTGCTTAAGCAAAACCAACTCAAGAAAACAGATACCACACAAGTGCTGTTGAGGACAAGGCACAGACAAACACCAACTCTCCACGAAGATGAGGAGGCTGTGCTGATGGGGCTCCGCTTCCCCAGCCTTGGGGCGAGTTAGTTCCCTTGCTTCTGCTCCTTAGCTGTCAGCTGCTAAAGTCACAAGGAGTTCTGGGAATAAATTAAAGGTTGCAAAACCACCATATTCCAAAGATGAAAGGTGCTGGGTTTTTACTCATAATTTCAGCATTAGGAGAAGAATAGTTTCTGTGTCCTCACAATCCCATGGAAAACAACCTCTTAATGCCCTGGGTTCCCCTCTGCCATCTTCATACACTCACAAAGTCAGCAAGGGACTGTGATGAGAGGCATGGGCTCTGCTCTCTTCACTGCATGCTGAGCTCCCTCCCAGGGCCTCGAACCAAGCTGATGGGGTGCCCACTCAGGCCTCCTTCATGGCTCAGGTGGGCCAGCACTATTTTCTGAGCATTTACCAGTTGCAGGCTCAGCACTAGGGTTTACATATTGTCATGGACTGAATAGTATTCCCTCAAAATACTTACAGATGTAACCCCATTTGGGAATAGTGTTTTCTTTGTTATGTTAATGAGGCCCTATCAGTATAGGGTGTGTTGTAAGCCAATCACTTTTGATCTATAAAAGGCACATTAAGCACAGGGAAGGAATGAAGATTGTTAAGACCAAGGAACAGAAGCTGAAAAGAGACAAGGACCTTCCCCCAGGGCAGAAAGAGAGAGGAAACCCTGCTCTAGCCCCAGTACCCTGAATTCGGACTTGGTGGAGAAGTGGCTAAGTACTTGGCTGCTAACCAAAGTCAGGACTCGGACCCACCAGTCACTCCACAGGAGAAAATTGTGGCTGTCTGCTTCTGTAAAGATTTACAGCTGTGGAAACCCTATGAGAGAGCTCAGCTCTGTCCTATACAGGGTCGTGATGAGCTGGAATTGATTCAATGGCAGTTGGTTTGGTTTTTAGTGTGAACTATGAGAAAATAAATTTCTCTTTGTTAAAGCCACCTACTTGTGGTGATTTCTGTTACAGCAGCACTAAGAAACTAAGATATATGCATTATCTTACTTAGTCCTCATAATAACCCCCAATGTAGGCACCTTCAGCCTCCCTGCCTTCTTGTCCAGCTTATGGAAACACCCAATTTTACAGATGAGGAAACTGAGCCTTACAGAGGTTAAGAAATTTGTTCAAGATCTGTAGCCAAGTAGACAGCAATGCCAAATTCAAACTTAAGACTGTCTGACTCATATGCCCAAGACAGTATTTAATGACCATACTACACACCAATCCTCTAACCATAGCCTGTCATGAAACACTGAAGATGTGGATTCACCAGTTGTCATGTTGTTTGCTGCCATCAGTTGGCCCCTGACTCATGGGGATCCCATGCACAGTGGGACAAAATGCTGCCCAGTCCTATACCATCCCCATGACCAGCTGTGGTTCAGACCATTGTGATCCCTAGAATTTTCATTGGCTGACTCTCTGAAGTAGATCACCAGGCCTTTCTTCCTCATCTGTCATAGTCTGGAAGCTCTGCTGAAACCTGTTCACCATCATAACAACACACAGGTCTCTGCTGACAAGACGGGTGGTAGCTGCACATGAAGTGCACTGGCTGAGAACTAAACCCAGGTCTCCCACATGAAAAAGAAGACTTTCACCACCAAAAAACCACTGCCCCCCATTTACCAGTTACAGCCCCCCAAATGAGTCCAAACCCCCAGATGGAATGGACACAGCTGGCGACGCATGATTCCTTCCTTCTGGGAGGCCACATCTGTTGCCTCTTGGGATTTTTCCACATCTGTACTGCCTCTAATTCCCCCGAGAGGAGCAAGCCCTGCTGAGGGGAAGGGGCTGCTTAATCTAATGAAGCCCAAAAGCTTAGACTGTTGGCCCCATGGCTGTGCTTGGGAAAGACAGGCTGTGCGAAGGCCTTCCAGAAACTCACAGCCTTCACAGTCTCATCAGACACAAAGGAAATCCTCCCCTAGAGGCACCTGTGTGGGGAGAGGAGAACTTCAGGGACAGAACATCTTGAAGTAGCTCCAGAGAAATAGAAGATAGTTCACACAGAGGAGTGGCAGCCATTGGCTCTGTACCTTCGGAGCTGAAAAGCATCTCAGGTCATCTAGGGACCTCAGCTACCATAGGTCTGGGACAGAGTGTAGGCTTGGAGCTACCCAGTTCCCTTCCCTCCAGGGCAGGGCCCCTACCCACCCACCCCAAGCTCTTGACAGCTTCACACTTCTGTTTAAATTGCCCCACAGAGGGGAATCCCTAGATTGTGGATTTAAAAAAGGCAAAGAAAAAGGGGGTAGGGTGAAAGCAAAACCACACACAACAGAAGATAAAACTGATGAAAGGCTAATCCCAAAGAAAATAGAGCGGGAACTCCAGGCCTGCCCCCAAGGAGGGATAATGGTTGCAACACTTATAAGTCAGCTCTCTGAAACTCAGATAAGTTTCCAACAGAAACAATGGAAAAACAGAGGCTAGTCTATTTGTCTTGTCAGTTCACAGAAGCTGAGCAATCTTGAATCCCATCCACTGATGTGCCAACAGGAAAAGCTGTTGAGAGCAGCTGGGAAGCCCCCTTTCCTGGTCCACAGAGTAAGCTCCCACGATGGTCCCTCTGCAGCTCTTACTCACCCGAGTTTTGCACTTCTGGATGGGGATACACTCTGCCTGCTTCTACTATCAATCTGGGGACTGCCTCATCTGTGGAGCCCGCTCTAGTGCTGGGACTTCTGAAGAAGCACCTTGAGGTCCCCGCTTCACCACTCCCCCAGACCCTGCTCTGGCCTCCACTGAAGCCAGTATTTCCTTCTAGGCTCCCATCTGC